CCTAATCAAAAAGTAACTTACAAAAGCATACTGAAGTACAAAAGAAGCTAGCTTTAAACATTCAACACCCAATTAAAAAAACGATCATCGACAGTCATAAACAGAATTGGTGCTGGATGGTGTGCAAAGAACGAACGATACCTGAATTACGTAAGATGGCACAGGGATCGAAATCTATGTAATCATGAAATCGCCCCCAAATGACCCCCTCCCCCTGCATCCAGGGTAATTTGTCCCCTCTTCAGGACAACTCGTTTAAATTTAACAATTTCGCCATGTGAAACATATTACAAACACTGTGATTAGATTACATTTCCAACATGTTGCATACCCAAGGCCAACATTGATTTTTCGTCAATACATACATTAAGATAAGTAACATGTGTTTAACAGTAAAACGAAAGTGATAATAAAGCAAAGCTTTGTTCTGATATCTCATCAAAAACACAATATATAAACGTCAATTAATCTTGCTCTTGTTTTTGAATTGTGTTGTGTTTGATAAAACTAGAGAGTGTACAATGGATTCATAAGTATCCATATACTCTTAAAATAATGCTTTCTTCCGTAGGCATATGCTTTTGGTGAAATTTATCCATAAACTGAAAAAAAACATTGACAAAAACATACACGCCGTGCACAACGGAGTATACACCGCGCATGTCATGATATACACGGTGTGATTTTTTTACAGAAGGAGACATTGATAGTTTAAAGGTTGACCTACTGCTGTTAATTTTTTTACAGGTAAAGAAGAGATGCAATCTTCAAACAACAAACGTTACCTCGGATTCGTCGCATTTCTTTGTAAGGTCTTCAGAAATGTTCGACTATCGACAGGGGACACGATGAAGCCATCAGTGACACCTATGTTTGAGTCTTAAGAAGAAATCTTAAAGAACAAAACCTCAACTGAAGATGAATACGACTGTTTATCATTATAGGTCAGTATCTCATCATATTACAGATTTATATAGGTCCACATTATATAAGATGTTTATATTCGTAATTTTCATTGGCTGAAAGGAGGTCAAGTGATATTCGTCCTTTTGTAATATTGACGCGAAAGCGCGTCCGGAGAAATTTGATATTGCACGACTCACCGTTCGGCTGCACCATCGTTACGTAGAACGTGACGTTATGATATAAGAACCATGTCTTTACCATTGTGACGTAATCATAGCCAAGTTTGTTCAGTCAGGACTGTGTCACATTATTCATTTTGAGTGATTATATAATAAAACTACTATGGACTTCAGTGAACGGTCAATATGTGGTTATAAGGGCCCATGTCAAGTGATATTGACCTCTTACACAGAAAATGATAGCGACCTCGCAAGCTCGGTCGTTATCACTTTCTGTATCTTCGGTCAATATCACTTGACATGAGTCCTTATAACCACTTATCAACCTACACTGAAGTTCATAATTGTATATTATTATATAGCTAATTAAAAATCTATAATAAAAAACTACTAAACGTCTAGAGAATTTTAGCGTTCAGTATCTTTATTTTATTGAACGCTGAGTTTGTATTACGAATATGAGTATGCCCGAAACATTCCGAATACTAGCATTCAATATCGAATGCTCCGTTTTAAATAAAATATGTCCTCTGGTCAACCGCTCAAAGGCAAATTTATGATAGGTAGTGCTAGCTAGGTAAGATATGTTTATTTTCACGCAAAATTGAAATTATTAATTAATAATTTACTACGCATTAGCCTCAATAAAACCTTAATAAGCAAATCACAACGCTTGGTAGGGTCATTGGAATGATGTGATATTGAACACTTACAGGACAGATGTTAATGTAAATACAGATACTGAATATTCTTTTTAATTTGAGTTCTTTAATTGAAATAATTAATATAAATCAATGGGAGATGTTTTAGCGTTTTAGCTATATAATAAAGGAGTTATTGAACTTATATAGGTGAATATTGGCACTCGTTGGATGTACAAATGTACTCGCAAGCTCGTGCATTTGTACAGCCAACTCGTACCAACATTCTCCAATAAAGTTTAAAAACTTTGTAATATCTCATGTAATTAGAGGTAAGAATCTAATATCAATACAGGTTCATATCTCTTATCATTGCAGGTGAGTACATCTGTATCATGTCATAACAGGTCCGTATCTCATGTTTATAACAAATCCTCATGTTATCACATATCAGTATATGTACTCCATAAAGTTAAGTTCCCTTTCTGTTGCAATTGTTTTCTTATTCAGTATTTTGTTCGATGAATTTTATGAATTAAGAGTTGATTTTGTAAGTTAAGGAGAACTTCCTCTTTATTAAGGTCAATTGATAATGCTGCACTTCTTGATATCAATTACTGAAGTCGTTTACATGTTGATTGTAAAGCTGCACTGCACTGGAAAAGACCTTGACCTTCAGGATCAGCCACGCATGTCTGGATTGCTTGATCAAATGCGAACACACGTCATAAAAAGATGGGTATGTCACATCAGGGCTGTAGGAAGCAGTTTCAGTTTGGGGGGCACAACCATAAATTTTCAGTTATGGGGCACTATCAACTACTAAAAATTCCTTGACAAGCAAAGAAAAAAAAGGTCATCAGACGTTTTTGTTGAGGGGGCACAAGCATATAGTAGCTATGTTTTCTATAGTTATCAATATGTCGGAAAAATTATTGGGGGGACGGTCCTCCAACCCCCCCCCCCCTCCCCCCGGTTCCTACGGCCATGCACATGGCACATAAGAACCGAAGTACAATATCATTAACTGCTGAAATGTTAATTTTGCAGTTGTAATTTACTTAATCTATCTAAGTATATCAGTAAGAGCAGATAAATATATCTGTAGGCTGTCATAACAAATACGGGAATTGTTTACCTCGGCCTACACTTGTACCTGAAGAACATGAGAATAATAACCACAAATTTGCTGTATCTATTGATTTAATCAATATTTATATTATCAATGAAAAACACGTAATAGGTAACTGTTCAAAAAATGTACAGTAGGGGGAATATATATAAATTTTATCGATATTTTCAGTCGACAAAAGTATGAAAAATTACATAACACATGTAACAACATAATTTAGTATGTGTTTTGTGCATTTTCTGATTTGCAAAAATGTTCATTAATATTGAAACTATGCAAACTTCTATGAATTATATTCATAATTTTCTATTTAAAAAAATTAAATTTAGTATTTTAACTCTCTGCTGACACGAACTTGGCAGTCAATATCAAATGAAAAAAAAAGCCCAACAAAATCAGAACACAAACAAGAAAATCAATGTTTTTGAAAGCCTACTAATGATTAAACAAACTTGAAATAATTTAATAGCAGATATTTCTTTTTCAAAAATCATCGCTTATACGTTCATATAGCATTTCACACAGAGATATGATAAAAGCGTATTAAGAAACTTCTTTTAAATTTTACCCATAATACTTCAGAAAAGTAGAAACTTTGTTATCTATTAATGAAAATATTAACACTATAATCTAGATAACTATAAGATTGAAATGCGAGAAAGCCAAAACAAGTCAATCAATGCTCAATGATGTGTGCAGAGTTTAATAAATCGAACAAAACCGGTGAAACGTAAACATTAACAAAATAGAGCTCGTGCCCTGTTTACAAAAACAGAATGTTTGACTTGCTGTTAAAAAGAATGTCGTTGACATCGAATTCTTAGAATATTCATGTAAGTTCAGTGTAAAATCAATTTATTTAACTGGTTTCATTTTTAAATAAACAGAGAAATTTAAAAAGTAAGACTCGCAACTGTGTCCATGCCCCTTTAAGCGGCAGATTCTAATTTCATGGAGTCTTTTGCCTACCTTGTAGTACACTCTCTTTGCATGTCAATTTTTACTCGTCACAGAAGAAGAACACGTTGGCTAGAACCAACACAGTACTGCGAGAAAGAGCAGATGAGGACTGTTGACATATTTGAGCACATTCGGCATCTATAGAAAATATGTTTTTTTTTTTCTTTTTCTCTAATTTGCTGATGTTTGTATAGTTTTTGATAGCACTTCCTATAAATTATGTGGGGTTTACATGTGCAATGTCTGGAATGTTAAAGTGTATGTGTTCGAGCCTGTCTTTTTGGCATGCATACGTTAATCGTTTCATAACTATAAAATAACTTAAAATATGTATATTATTGTATATTATCTTTTAGATGACAAAGGTAACATCATTAGACAATCTTCAAGAGAATTATATTCGAATCATACGAGGAATCTTGTCATTGTTTTCTTGTAGTGAAATTAAGATTTCACTTTGTTCATTTTTTACTCATCTCTTTGAAGTCTCATTTGATCCTAGAAGTAGTATGATCCAACTAAACGAGTCTTAATTTGGTTAGGGTAGTTTTGTAAGGATTATTTAAGTCATATAACCACTAAATGGATCAAATACCCAGCGCCTGCGTTTGAAGATTGTTGCCCCTGATTCTTTTTTCGGTTACTGGTGAATTTATACCTATGTTACTTTGATTGGATGCTTAAACGCTGATTTAGCTTTTAAGTAAAGCGCATTTCATCTGATCCGTCAGTGGTTATATGACTCATAAATTACCTTTAACTGCGACAAGACGCTTTTAATTAAGGGATTTATTCTTCACAGAATATCAACTAATGTGGTTATAGCAAGTTATACATTTATTGATAGATTTCATACTATGGATTTTTATTAATATCAGCTGTTCATTTACCTGCTTTATCTCCCTCCGTTCATTTTTGACAAGTAGAGCTGCAATCTCATCAGATACCTTTGTTATATCACGTCTTGTCGTATTGTCATTACCTACTTGAAACTTTGAACAAAATAAAAAAAAATCTTTATGATTTAAATTTTATTTTACTTGTAGCACATACACATTTGACATGTCCATTGCAGTAATCTGAATACAGATAAAATAAAAAGTACATCAGATTTATGTTTTGTTTTGCTTTCTTTCTTTAATGAACAAATTATCAGGTAAATGACCAATAAAGTGGTTGATTTTAATGCAGGTATTTGATTTTCTCCAGAGAGCTTGACAAACTGAAGAAATATTTCCAAGAAATGAGAAACAGATAGTCATCTGAATTTGTACACAACCCACCAAGAGCATAAAATCCAAATTCTAGGAATTGAAGGAATCGTCCATTCTGGTCTATTATGTGGACACAGTTGTTATCATAATCAGTTGTGAGGATGTTACTCTGACTGTCTGTAGTGATTCCTCTTGGATTGAGTGTTCTATTCCATGGAGCAGGAGTATGTCCAGAATATTTGAATCTCAGTTTCCCGAACTGATTGACTACAACTATTGCTTTAGCTCCGCTGTCAGCCACACAGATATCAAGGTTCCTGTTCTCACATATGAGTTTATCAGAACCATCTGATGAATAGAGAGGTGTACCCTTATAAACGAACTGAATGGATTGTTTTTCCGTGGAGTCAGAGTATCGGACAACTTTCGATTGTTTGTTGTCATCACTTTCCATGGTAACCAGCAGGTCACCAGAGGAAGTGCTACAGATACCAAGAGGTTTCCAGTTATTTAATCTAATCACCTCCTCTTTATTTTCATTCTTCACAATGTTAACAGTTCTCTCACATATATCAGTATACACTAGTTCTCCACTTTTTGTCACTGCTATGTCTGATGGGAGGCTGTTTATTGTCCTTGTTCTAATTGACTTGAGTGGTGAACCCTGATTGATGCTGTAGAGGGTCATGGTACAGCTATTATCACATGTCCATATCTTTTCATCACTCAACCAGGCAACTCTTCGAAGGTAGCCAAAATGATAAATACGCTGGTCGAAAAGCTCTGGTTCATTACGCAGTTTTTTTTGAGGGGCATTAACTTTTAATAATCTCTCTTTGACTAAAGGAGGAGAACTAATTATACGTTTATTTTTTGTTGTCTTTATTATGTTTCCATGCTCTTTTGATTTAAGTGGAATTAAAGACAAATCTCCAAAGTGAGAACAAAGTTCTTCCTCTTGAATGGCTTTTGGTGTAAATTTTGGTGCAGACAAAACAGGTATTTGTGGAAAGATTTTATGTTGATCAACAGTGGATCTTAAATTGATTATTTTTGAAATGTCATTAGAGTCTTTTGCAATATCTAATAAATTGATTTCCTGTTTTATGTCAATCATTTTCCTGTTAATTTCATCCAGAATTTTCTGTAACGTTTGTAACTGCGAACTCTTTATTTTGTCAATTTGGTTTTTAAGTTTATTGACAAGTTTGTCGATTTCTCTTTGCAGGACTTCTCCCTGTTTTGTTATGGATGTTAAGAGTTCTCCATATTCCTTTTCTAATTCACTTATTTTGTTTTGTACATTAGATGCCATCTCTAGGTATTTTGGATTAACGTTTTCATTTAAGTCAGTTTTGTATTTGTTTATCTTGTCCTTTTTTTCATCCAGAACTTCTAAGATTTTTGATAATTTATTACTGATATGTTGATCAGACGAAAGGCAACTGGCGCAGACGGAAATGTCACATTTTCTACAGAACATCTCACATCGTTCTTTTTCATGGGAGGTACATTCAGGGTAGATGGGAGTGGAATTCCTGGACTGGTATTTGACTACTTTATGATCCTTGGATTCATCTCCAGCAGAGATGTGTTCTCCAACACAGGCCTTACACAGGTTGACGAGGCAGGTATCACAGTGCATCTGTACTTTAACAGTCTCACACAGATCACAATGTATAACATTCTGGGCACTTGTACGAGGGTCCATGACTAGAGCTTATGACTCTAAAATTAGTAAAAGAAAACCGAATCTTAAAGAATAACTTAAGAATTGTTTCTGGTTTAATTTATAAAACCAGACTTAATTGAAGAAATGGGCAAGTTTTCTTTATTTTTTTTCCTTTCCTCTACAAAATTGACAGAATCTAATTTCTGATAATGATATTAACATGTGAACATAACAGAAAAATGAATCAATTTAATTGCAAGTTCCCACGTCATGGCAAAAAACTCGCATGATACCAAAGGTGTTTTTGAATTCATTGAAATACTATGTATAACTACATGATTTTATAGGAAAAGAAAAACATTATTTTCTAACTATGATAAATAAATAAAAGAAATCATTTGTTTGGAAAATAGGTGTTGAAGTTTTAGATAATTCAACCAATAACTGTTACCTGCTTACAATTGAGAAATGGCAGCTGTGTCCGTGCCAACAGAAATTCAATTCACACTGTTCCTAGTCTCACGATTTATACAATTATTATCTACCAAGTCAAGGTTTTTGAATGTCTGTGCTCTACTCTTTGACCAATATCTATTTAAAGTTCATAACGTTAACAGTTCATAAATTTTGAATGTTGTGTAATGGTATTGGTTCTGATAAAAATGTACCTTGCCGTTGATGCTAGAAATAATTGAATTAAAATTTCTCACACTTAAGTGTTGTTTCTCATATCAAAGGTATAAAACTCTTCTAAAAGCGTAAGAGCTAACTGGTAAAAATTTGTTGGTAAAGCACATGTTTATACATGTTTTTGGTGGAATTCGTCTATGATATTTTGAGGAAGAATTATCTTGTTTTTAATTCTAAAACAGGGAAACTTTGTATTCTTGATAATTACTTAGGCAATCACCTATGCTTTTTTGTATCATGTGTCAGCTTGCCCCTAAACATTACATGCCTCTTATTGTTATGATTTCTGGTCTATGCCTTAACCACAGATGACACTACATGTCACAGATGGCATTTACGATTAACATGTTTCACCATCTATATATGTGCATTTATTTTTTTTTTCTGTTCAACTTATTTTTTTTTATCAGTTCAACAAGTTACTCAGAAATTTATTAAAGACTGTTCATTTCTTGAAGCTGATTTTCTTGATTTGTATTCATCTGATGAACTGCAATGTCAAATGTGTAATTAGCAAAGAACAGCGAGTCAAAATATTTTTCACATATCATATCAACTTTTGCAAAAAGATTTTTTGTCCTTTGGACCCACTGAGCTCATACTATTCACGGTAGCTCAGTCGGTAGAGCGCTCGCTCCGTAATCGGGAGGTCGTGAGTTCGAATCTCGACAGCGACTTAACTAAGTCGATAAAAAATGGGTAGCAACTGTTCCTTCGCCATGCGCTCGGCACTTTGAATTGAAAGATGCGGGTTCTTCGGATGAGACCTTAAAAACCGAGGCCCCGTGTAACGGCAGACGTTGACACGATAATGATTCCTCACTGCTAAACGGCCCTGAGTACTGAATAGAGGTCAAAATTTAAAGCACTTCACCGGTATATGGTGACGTCTCTATATGAGTGAAAAATTCTCGAATGAGACGTAAAACAACATACAATCAATCAATATCCACTGAGCTTTTAATTGAGTGTTTGATACGACATATCTCAAACAAAGTTTGGCATGTAACAATTCTCTATTTACTTAATGTGGTAACTTTTACCTGAACTGGACTCGTAAAATGAAGGGATTTACATTTGTCTGCAATATTTCTCTCCGTTTGTTTTATTTCTTGAGTCCCTATAAATTAAAATAATTATGTGACTTTTTCACGGTTCGAAGTATTTTGCTGTACAGATCCCACCTGTGTGGACGTACGCCTAACCATTCTAATATTGCTATTTTACTCGAACATGATAAAATTATTCACGACTGGAGAAAAATGTGATGTTATTTGCATAAGCCAAATCAACACAAACACACAAAATGCACAGAAAACAACGAAATAAACTTTAAACAATGACAACATTAGAACAACTAAAAGTCGGCCATGAGTTTTTAGGTGTATAATGCAAAGGATACATATACTCTTGTACTGCTATCTGGGATTGGAAGACTTATATGGCTTATGGATATTTAGGAATCGGGTTCAACTTCAACAAAGTGAAATATCCCCTATAGGTATATACCATTAATTGGTTATCACTGTTGTGTGATAATCTGCAAGAGTTGACAGTCTTTCTATAATTAAACAGGATAAGTAGAAATATACCAAACCGTCTACATGTATTACAGTTTCCTGAATTTAAATATGACTGATCATGCTTTGGCTGGTCTTGAAAAAGAAGAAATTGAAGTTATTTTTAACAATATATCCAATGTAAACCTTTGATCGTCCATTGTGCCCCTATCCTACCCCATATAAACTTCTTCTTAGGGCTTATTAGCTCTTGATAAAAAAAAATCCTGAAAGAAGCAATTAAATTTTATCTAATTCTCAATTATATCCCTTTGAAATAGGACATGACCTGCATTTGAATAAAAGTAAATTCATTTAATCCAAGTATGCTTTGTCGCAAGTTTAGTTAAAATCGGGTCGGTGTTTCTTGAGAAGAAGTCGAAAACGTGAGGATTCCAGACGGTAGCCGAGTAGAATGTGACCAGATCAGGCGAGCTAAAACGTCCAATAAAGTAATTGTTAATTAAATGACTGAATACCCTCGCTCTGATTTCTTTATATAAATCAATCAACTCTAACCTGATTCCTATCCCTATTAATCCTTATAGACTACAGTATATATGTATACCTTATTTTTTATTGTAATGAATACAACATTGTATACATAGAAAACAGCAAAATTGAATTACCTTTAAAATCCTCTTTCAAATTTTGCAGAATTTGCGTTTGAAACTCAACATTAGACCGTCTCTCACACAAGTATGCTCCACATTTGGTCTTTCAAAGTCTTGTCATGGATGCGCTTGGCCACATTTAAAACATAGTCCTCTGGTGACATTGACTCTGATAAGGTCAATATGCCCTCCAGGGTAACGTTGTCCTCAGTCAGTCTGTGAGTGAGACCTTTATCCTCAAGCTCCTTCAAAGGACAAGATAGGGTAAGGTCAGACTTTGGCCCCCTCATCAATTTTGTTCATATTTATATCCAAGAAACTCTTGAACTTACCTTTAAAGAAAAAAGATGTTTTACCGCCCTAGCTCTTTATTAAGGTTGCTAAGCAACACAAAAGACATAGCAACATTTTTGACAGATTTTATGCCTTTGCTGCCATAATACACAAAATAATTTGACTATATTTAATTCTTTAGAATAATACAATAGTTGAAAAGCTAAACATTGATTAAATAAAGAATTTTCAAACAGTTTATCTATTTATAACATAAATGAACATCTTCCATTGCATATATGTACCTTAGCAAGTGTTGATTTCCCTAGCGGCATATTATGATAATTAATAGCCCATTAACAACCTATGGCAATTACGACAAAAGTACTTGTGCATATGTATATAAGTAAATGTAGTCTATTATAATAAAATCAGACAGAGAGAACTCTTCCTTTTGGCATGTACATTTCCTAGCAACTAATTATATTCCTTAGCAACAAGAATCTTTTATAATATATATGACGTCGTTTGAGTATGTGTCTTATGTAATGAAAATGTATCTGAACAAGATTTCACTTAATACACATAGTATGTTGCTAATATTCAACGTTTATAATTGACAGGAATGAAATTATTATTTTTTATAAATTATAATGTCCCTTGAAGCAAAAATTATATATACACTGTACCACGTATTTTTGTTAAGTCAATTAAATGAACACATTTGCTATATTACTCCTCTTTTAAACAAGAGGGAGCCTCTTCCTAGTACTCTGTATAACTGTCACTGTCTGTTTCAGGTATATCTTCTGCATTCAAGACCCTGTCTAGCATGCTTGCCTTAAGGATAGCTCTGTTTATGTGTCGTTGGTACCCTAAATACCATAAAACACTTGCTACGTGGGCACAGGTACCAACGACGCGGGCACCAGATTTGCATGTGCAAAACCACCCTGTGATGGTTGAATTTTCGGGTGAATACTGCGTATCCATAAATTGTGTATGTTGTTGTTTGAATGCCTGGACTAAATTTTTACTCGAACTAAATCCGGTAAATCTTTACATATAAGAATAGAAGAAAGCCCGTCATCTGCTATGTGTTCAGCAGTGTAAGGTTGGACCTGCTTCAACTGGTATATGCCGAATGTAATCTGTCGAAGATCATCTAGTGATAATTTTGGAAATTTGTCAAGGGTCTCAGATTCTTCAGTTATGTTTATGTATGTATTTCTCTTTCTAATCAAATTGTTTTCCTCTACTAATGACTTGACATGATTCCCGAGCTTCGACTTCTCTAACATTTCTTTGGCTATCCTTTCTCCTTCTGGATTATGGTTGGCTAGTGGTGGTCTGAAGTTGTTGCAGAGTGAGCAAACTATTGGCACAAAGTCACCTACTGAACTAACATAATGGTTTGATATAACTTTATCTAAGAGTTTCCAATTTTTGATTCTCCCGTTGACACTCTCCACTACCCAGCGCACTTTTGTAATTAAACGGGAAAGATTTGCTTCTTCAGTGCAACGCTAACTTGATCCTTTGCTTAAATAACATGGCATTTCCACTTGTAGACCACAACTATTTAGGAAATCCATGGAATCATGGAATCCGCGATCCACAATACATACGTCATCAGAAGTGATCCAATCAGCAAGATTTTCAGCATTTGTTTTGAACATATGTTTTGCTACATGTATGCATGCGTCACTGTTCTTGCCATTTGCTCTGTAAGGCCCGAGTACACTTAAATATAACCATCAGATCCAGCAATAACCATTATTTTAACAAGTGGCCGGTGTTTGTACAAATTGTAAGAAACTCGTTGAAAATGATAGTCTGAACTTTTTGCATATACATGTATATGTACCATCCATTATGAGCACCGCAGAATTAGAAGTTCCAG